GTCCCCGTCCCCGTTAAAATCCCCGAATTTAGTATTATATATATATATATATGTATATAAATTAAAATTAATATATATACACATATCAAGTCGGGCCGAGCCGATGATCACCGTCCCCGTCCCCGTTAAAATCCCCGAATTTGTCCCCGATCCCCGCCCCGTCCCTGATAAGATGTCCCCGAACCCAGCCCGAAAGTTTCGGTTTCAGTTTTGTTTGCCTGTAATTTTCTCGTTGAATTCCGTGAACGAAACAAAAAAATTCCAATTCGGTTAAGAATTTCATTCCAATTTCATCCAACCAAACGCAATCAAAAGACATGGTCAAATTCCATCAAATTCCATTCCATTCCCTCAAAGTCAAATTCATTTGATGAATTCCAATTCCATTGAATTCCATTCTACGAACCAAACGCCGCCTTAGGGTGCGTTTGGTTTGCAGCAATGTTTTTGAGGGATTTGGATTCCATGGGATTTGGATTGGATTGGATTTAAAATTCATTCATGTGTTTGGTTTGCAGAATTTGGATTGGATTTGAAATTCATTCATGTGTTTGGTTTGCAGGATTGGAATTGGATTTGAAATCCATTCCTTTATAAATCATGTTTGGTTTGTAGGATTTGGATTGAGATTATTTTTTATTTTTTTTGGTAATTATTTTAATCACCAAATCTCATTCATTTTCTTAAACCTATCTATTTAACCAACAACCTAAAAATTTAACAATCAAACTTTACCATCCAAAATGCATATTTAATCAACAAACATTTTCATCCAAAATACATATATTTAACCACCAAACTCGTTAATCCAAAATACAAATTTAACTACCAACTTGTTCTTTCAAAACCACACATTTACCCACCAAAATTTTCATTCATTTAAAACCCAATTGACATAAGCTTCCCTATCCGCTTCTTGCAAATCCCAAAACATGTTCACCTTTTCAGGATCGTCTCTTATCAATGAAATTACTTTAAACTTCTCTGGTCGGGCCAACGTCTGCATTTTTGATATCTCAGAAGTGATCATCGAACGTTTCGTATCAAGTTCGTCTTCTCGTTCTACACCCTGTTAAGTTTGTTCGCCATTTTCTCCAAAGTTGCTCCAAGTTTAGTAATCGCATTACTAAATCCGTCAGCCATGGGATCTACTCGACGTTTTCTCTTCTTACCACGCGCACTTGAAGTTTCTTCAGATTGCATATTTGCATTCCCACCTTGAACATTGCTAGTTGTCATTACGTCATCAGACTCGTCATTCATGTGTTGTGTTTGATCTTCTATACGCACCTCCTGTTCCGCCTCAACAAAATCTCTTGCTCTATTTCCTGTGGCACGATCTTTTTCGAATACAATACAAAGATCCTCGTAAAAAGGATACGGTTTGTTCTTCCATTTTCCCTCCCCTTTATGGACCTATTTCATAATAGAATAACATAAATATACATATAACTATGATTATATATTATGCAAATATAAATAGCAAGTTCTTTTTAGCATGTACCTGAAGATACGACTCCCAAACTTGGTCTTCCGCAGCGACACAATGCTTCGCACTATCGTATCCGAAGCCACTAGTATATGAACCATTTATCATGTCATGCAAAACAGTCCAATCTTTCTTCATTATTTTTAACTTTGATTCGATGTGTGGTTTCCCTAAAATCCCGGAGCCCGGCAAAGATTCTTTTAATGATTGTTTAAGAAATGTTAAATAACCCGATTTAAAGCCATTATCGGCTTTAAATGCTCCCGTATTCACCATAGTAAGTAAAGCTTCAACGAGTTTTGTTTCTTCAATATTCGTCCAAACTCGATAATTTCTATTTTGACTTGTCATACCTACAAACATAAATGAATTAAAAGTATAACAACATTTAATTATCCATGTCCAAACTCCATAATTTCTATTACAAACAAACATTAGATTTAAACAAACATGGCAAGTATGAGTTAAACAAACATTAAAAGTATGAGTTAAACAAACATTTGAATCATACAAATTAATTAGTAGCATTCCAAGAAGCAAACATAGATTGTGCTAAATTGTCCCTAAATGCAGTCCACTCATTTGAAGTACCAACAACATTTATATTATCTCCGTCTTCGACTTCATGGTCTCCGGTTCCTTCATCCACTTCACCGTCATTGTCAAGTGGATTTACTAGCCTTTCTTGCATTATAAAATTGTGGAGGAGACAACATGCCATGATGATCTTAACTTTTTGTTCAATAGGATAATACGAGTTATCTCTTAAGATTGCCCACCTTGCCTTTAACATACCGAAACATCGTTCAATAACATTTCTCGCCGATGAATGCTTCATATTGAAAAATTCTTTGGCAGTGGTTGGTTGGTGTCCATCACGCCAATCATTTAAATGATATCTTTGACCCCTATAAGGAGCTAAGAAACCCTCTCCATTTGTGTATCCGGCATCAACCAAGTAATAACCTAATAATAAATTAAGTTAATAAACCATCAAAACTTATACTTGTTAATATATAGTAAACTATCAAAAACTATACTTTGTTGGGTATTGCATTTGATAAAATAAAGAGGAATAAAGTGATGAAGAAAGAAAACAAAGGAAGGAAGAATGGCAACTGGCCATGTACAACCACTAAATCTAGGTATGAAATAGTGAAGCAGTCAAGTGAAACAATGAAGAAGTAGAAATGCAAAAAAAGTGTTTCTTTCATACATTAATTAATTGATGCTAAATCAAGAAAAAAGCATCAAACCAATTTACTTTCAGTTACATTATTGTTGTTACTTCTTCCCTTTTGATCATCCTTTACTGGGATTATGATTTATATTTGCAAATAGCCTAAATGGACACACGACTGTTAGCAGTTTTATGAATTTTAGGTAGCGTAGCCTATGAAAGCCCCATATCATTACTGGTGCAAGTTGGGCATAACAGATATCTTTGCTTCATACATAAGGGTAATGTCAATTTCTTATGTATGAAAACTAAAAGGGTACTGTCAATTGCTTATGTATGAAAACTAAAAGGGTACTGTCAATTGCTTATGTATGAAAACCATGTCTGAAATTAACCTAAAAGGGTACATGTTTGACTCCATTGTAACCATGTTTGAAATTAACCTAAAAGGGTACTGTCAATTGCCTTTTAGAGAAAAGGAGAGCATATAAATATGAAAAAAGGCAACTGTCCATAGCCAATAAAATCTTGTAAGAAAATTAACCTAAAAGGGTACTGTCAAGATGGTTAGGTTGGTGAGGGGTTAGGTAAGGAAAAGAGTAGGTGAAGCTGTCCATAGCCAATAAATCTTGTAAGGAAGGGTCTCCAACAAGTTAACTCCAGTCTCCGGTAATTGTAGAGTCTCAAAACAAAATATAGATTTGATTAGTAACATAAAATAGTTTGTCTAGCAAATTTGCAGCCATATTAAGTAGGATGACACTTGATTACAACAAAAAAAGCATTCTACTGTATCACAATTACAACCATAACTTTATAAGTAATAACTTCTCCCTGAATAACAAAAGGTCTAATTGATATGGAAGGTTAGTTAACGAGTCAAAATATGTTTTTGCATAATTTTGATACAAGAAAGTGACCAATGTAGCTCCAGTTTATTTGGAGCGTGAGTTAAAATGTTGATTCAAGTGTTTAGACTAGAGTTGTTGCATAAAGAAGTGTTTTACATTGAGATTTAAATGAAAATGTAAAACAATTGACTTCTCATAGAAGTCTATTTGTTTTGCCAACAAACTGAAATTTGAGAATTTTAGCAGGGAAGTGTAATGTGCCAACTCTATTGCAAGAATACTCGGCCTTTCTTGATTACTTGGGACCTCTTTTACATAACTTGGTCTCTTTTTCGGGTGTATTATACCTATAGGTGTAATTGTTACTCAATGAAATCTGAAATCCAGAATCAATGGGCATTACATATAAATGTTCGTACATTGAAAATAAATAGGATGCATATTTGGGAAGGAGACATGTTAATCTTTCAAACTGTAAAATATGTAATGTAATAACCAGAAGATTGGAAAGGGAAGTCTTACCTGCTCAAGCGAGACGAAGAGACGAAGAGGATGAGCACCGGTTCAAGCGGGACGAAGAGGACAAGAGGAGGAGAGCACCGGCGCGAGCAGTGGGGAGTTGGAGGAGACACCGGCGAGAGTAATGGGGAAGCGACGAGAAGGGGTTAGGGCATGAAGCGTCGAAGAAGAGATTTTGAGATACCGCCTTTGGATTTTAAATCCAGCCCATTTCCAAAGGATTTCCAAATCCATAAAGCATTCTTGAGCAAGATTATGATTTTGATCTTAAAATTATAAATGTTTTTTTTTTTTGTAAGGTTGTCCGGGCCAAAGCCCGACTAATCCCCGGCAAATTTGGAGGCTAAACATGGCCCCATTTAAATGTCGCCAACACCCCCTCCCAGGGCTCGAACTCGGGTTCATGACTATGTCATGCCCAAGCCTTTACCACTAGGCTGGAAGGTTTTTGACAAAATTATAAATGTTATTGTCAATCTAAAATTAATCTGTGAATCACATAAATAGCTCATATGTGAATGATTTAAAAAAGTTCATATGTAAATCATTTTGGTTCATATGTAAATCAGGTGAATAGTTCATATGTGATACAGGATTCGTACGACTTGGTGTCATGTGCTCTATGGTCGGTCAGTGCAATATATTTATATCACATTTGATTATTATTTTATATCGCATGTAATCTTGGATCTTGGATAGAAACAAACCTCTATATAAACAATCTAAAGAGGGGGAAAATGAAAATTCCAATAAGCCTCGAGTATTAATAATTCAAAAACCTAATTTATGACTCAGCAATTTTCATAAATTAGGAAATTTAACTAGCTTCTATATAGTTGCCAAACATCTCGAAACTGATAATTCAGGTTTGCATCACATCCAAACATCCTATAAAGCCGTTACAAAACGTAAAATCAGATACGTATTAGTTTTCATTTTATTTATATCTACTTTACGCTTCCAAGAACACAACATCATTGAATATCGAATAAAACATTCGTTACATTTCTCAAATAGCGAGCAGTCTGTATCGATGTCGAGAAGTTTAGAAAAGAATTGTCCAGTCGCTGAGCGTGCCATTTTTAATTAGCATGAATACACAACCAAGCTCTGTTCAAACCAAATAACACATAACCAATAAAAAGATTCTAAGAACCTGCTTCACAAAGCGCATTTTTGTTTATCCGACATCAAATGATAAAATAATTGTGAAAAGAGAAGCACGTATATACAAATGGAGAACGCCAACGGGATTAGCTTCTTTTAAGGATGTTCCAGCCAGGGCCAGGCGATGGTTGTTTATACGTAAAATCTTGTGACGAGGTGCTGTAGTTTAAGTCAAGGTTATGGAGTTGTTCCATGAGCTGAGAACGCCGTTCCTTGAAGAAATCAAGACGAGTCGTTAATTCCCCCAATGTGGACGATGCCGCCAATGGGTGTCTTGGATAATCAATCATCTATAGTCACAATGATACAGTGGTTAGTTTTCCAACCATCAAACCTGTATTTTGCATTTTCACAAGAATGATCGATTTGTTTGCAACAAAGAAAACCGAGTACGGTGGTTCACAAAAGCTAATCACTTTTCAGAAAAGGGCAAAATGCATCAAAATTCAATTTAGTTCCTATTTAGTGTAATGAATACTTTTTTTTCTCAAGTGATATAAATAAAGTTTCAAAATTCCCTATCTTATACCAATTTTTACCCGTAACCTACTGATCTTGAAACATTTCATGACGTGGATACCCCGTTTGCAAAAGGTTTATGAAAGGGTTACGGCGAAGTGGACAATCAACTTGACATCCACTTTATCAAATGTTAAAATATCAGCAGATTATCGGTCAAATGGGTAAAAAAGGAAAATTATGAACTTCGTTACACTAGTTGAGAAAAAAAGATTATTTGTTACACTAAATAGAAGCGTTGCATTTTTCCCTTCCAAAAAAATTCTCACAAAGTTCAAAAAAATGACAGCCTTATTTTAAAGGCAACTTGCATCAAAATACATCACACTTTGTGGTTTGATTGCTATGTTGTATAACATACTTTAAAAAACTTCATTTTGGTACCTCCGATGTGATATCTCAAACATTTAGACATAAATTAGGATCCGGAACAAAGTACTTTGCATTTTCATGCATTTTTAGACATAAACTAGATACTTATATGTTTGACATGTCACATCTGATGTACTAAAATGAAGGTTATGAAAGTACGTTAACGGAGCAAGGTACATTGCATGTTCATGCAATTTTCCCTTCATTTTACTATGTCATTTTTATTAAGTCTAACCTCGGCTGGTCTTGATGTCGATGGAAAATCAGCAGAATCAACAGCCCCAAAATCATCCGTCGTTAAGCTTGTCGATGCCCCTGTACTTTTAGAATCACTCAAGCTTGTCGAGTCCAGAAAATGCTTACGAGGAAGTTGCCTACCATTCATTAAGGCTTGCCCCTTAAGGTTTCTCAATTCTGCTCCCAATGAATTTTCCTGCAAAAAAAGATATGTGAGTTGTTCGAACCTCCTAAAGATTTATTCATGCCTGAAAAATATGCCACCATTCTCAAATAAATCAACATCATAGCTTTTGGTCATCATTATCATCTTTAGTACAAAAGTCAAACATATTTGGGAGGGTTAGGATGTACATAGACCCCTTACCTCTACCCCAAGTGCTAAGAGGTAGAGAAGTTGTTCCCGTGAAGACCCCCCGGGTAACTTGTAGGATGATATAGTTTAGAATAGAGTTAGCTACCTCTGATCTTTGTTTTCGTTCATGGTTGATAAAAGCAATAGTAGAATCAAAATCTTGCTGGAAAACTCTCCTGCCAAGAAACATAAATACACGAAGTATAAGAACATGAATAATGCACGATACATCAACAAAGAGATGAGTGGAATTTGATCCGACGGTATTATTGAATCTCAACATCCTTTACGGAGAGAATTTAGCGTATCACCATTTAAAAGGGCAAGATGCATCAAAATGAAACTAATTTAGCTTTAATCTTACTTAGTGTAATCAATAATATTTTGTTCTTAACCGATGTAACAAAAATTCTTTGACCCATAGCCTCTGTTGATCTACTCATTTACGAAATGTTTACAAATCACAAACTCTGAAAAGAAAACAACTTTCGGAGTCGATGTGAATCGATTTAAGATTAAGAGCAAAGGAAACGATCACCTTGGCATCCACATCCTCAGATGTTACAAGATAATACTGATCAAAATGGGTACAAAATATATAGTTTTGAAACTCTGTTACAATGACTGAGGAAGAAAAAAATTGCTACACCAAATAAGAACTAAGCCAAACTTCATTGCACTTTGATGCATATTGCAAAGGGAAAATTGCACCAAAATGGAACCAACTTTCACCTAATTCCTATTTTGGGGAAACAACTTTCAAAATCGTCATTTTGGGGTCCAACTTGCACCTGATTCCTATTTTGAGGAACCAACTTTCAAAATCGTCATTTTGGGGAACCAACTTGCACCTGATTTCTATTTTGAGGAACCAGCTTGCAAAATAATTATAGAAAAATAACTAAAATTCGTTTTTTTCCAAAAATTAATGCAATAAAATCTATTTTTTATTTTAAATCTCGTTTTTTTAATAAAACATTTTTTTTTTAAAATCCAAATTACCACAATAAAAATTGTTTTTTACTAATGCAAAAAAAATCAATTTAATAGAAAAAAATTAATTGATGCAATTGATTAGATATAAAAATCTTGAATGTGATATTTGTTTTTTATTGCATCAATTAATTTTTTTTTTTCTATTAAATTTTTTTTTGCATTAGTAAAAAACAATTTTTATTGTGGTAATTTGGATTTTTTTTTTAAATGTACAATTTGATATCTGAATTAAAAAAAAACGAGTTTTGAAATGAAAAATAGATTTTATTACATTAATTTTTGGAAAAAAAATGAATTTTAGTTATTTTTCTATAATTATTTTGCAAGTTGGTTCCCCAAAATAGGAATCAGGTGCAAGTTGGTTTCCCAAAATGACGATTTTGAAAGTAGGTTCCCTAAAATAAGAATCAGATGCAAATTGGTTCCCAAAATGACAATTTTGAAAGTTGGTTCCCCAAAATAGTAATTAGGTAAAAGTTGGTTCCATTTTGGTGCAATTTTCCCTATTGCAAAAAGGACATCTATAAAGGCAAAAAGGCCGATGGGCATAGTTTTCCAAATCACTTAAGTTCAAATGTATTTTATGTTATGACTAGGCGGTGTGAGTGATAATTCCACTAAAAATAGAACTAGAAATGGTGGCCTCGATTACTTGTACCATGGGTCATATAAAAAGAATAATAACCTTCGGGCAGTTTTTTTAAAATGCATGATCTTTTAACAGATTTAAGAATGCTTCTACCTAACAAGAGAATGCCTCAAAGTCGGTTAGACCGTCATGCATTCAAAAAGAAAATATATATATGTGAGAAGGTTATTATTCTAAATAGCCCCATATATATAGCAGATGCCAACTGATGAGGCAGGTTCTGTTAGGAAAACTAAAATTGATTAGGAACCCAGGAATCTCCTACAGCATGGCATGTGACATATTCATCAGAAATATGGATGTGTTATTCATCATGGTTGTAACACATCCATATTCATCATGAATGTGTGATTCAAAATAAATAACGCTTCCATATTCATCATGAATGTGTTATTCATGATGAATATTCATCCTGAAGAGGGACACGTGGGACACTTTGGACGGTTCCCGGGTTTCTAATGAGTTCTGGGTTCCTAATGGAACTTCCCACGTCAATTGATATATGCTACATAAAGAAGAATGTTCAAACTTTTTAATGAATAAATACTAGAATGGCTCACTGTTGAGAATTATGGTTACGAAGATGTAGGTGTCGGTCAGAAGCATCATAGTGATGCTGGCGTTGTTGATGAAGTTGTTGATGCAACTCTGCAACTTTTTGCTTCAATTGTGCAACATCTGCTTCAGCAAGAGCAATCTCCTCCAGCTCTGCTCTTGTCTTCATTTCAGAAAACATGATTAGAAGCAAATCTAACTCAAACATATATAGATAGAGAAGAAGAGAAGAAACCTTTGAATCCATATTTCGGGATCCAAGAACTTGTCCAGAAGACATGCTTAACCCAACTTCTAATGCAGCTCTTAAATCTCTCTCAGCTTGTAACTGCTCTTGCAATCTTTGAACCTACGATACAGGACCAAAATCAGAAGTCTATAGCAAAGCTAAATTTCAGATGATTAGACCAACTTTAGACACCTATTCTTCTATAGAATTTTCACAACTATCCAAAAGTAACATAAAGCCAAACCAAACTAACCCGGTATATCCCGCCCGGAGGTGGGGAACGACAAACCTCACCTCTACCCTCAAATGGTAGAGCGGATGTTTCCAGGAAGACCCTTGGGTTGTGAGAAGTGTGCAAAATAAGTAGAAAGCAAAGAAAAAGAGGAAGATGGAATTAAAGTCAAATAACATGATTGCATCAAATGGAAAAAGAAGGGCATACATCTTGTTCAAGTGCCAACCGACGTTCATGCAATGCTTGCTTCCTTCTTTCTAAGCTAGCTTGAAGTATCACGTTTCCTCTAGCCTAACATAGATATAATAATATTGATGTTACTAAACAATTTCGTCACTGCAGAATAAACATAAAAAAAATCACCGTAATTGTTACCTCCTTTGCAATTCTTTGCCGCAAGTCGTTTTTTGTGAGCTCAAGCCTCTGAACAGCAACTCTAAAACATACATAGTTTGAGAAGCATCAATAACAACATAAGATATTATTTGACAATTGAAATGTCGATAAATGAGCCTTTGAATAAAATTTGCTACAAGTGTTATTCTTATCGAATCTAATGACATGTTCGACTTATGTAATCTTTGGTCTTGTTAGACCACATTTTCACCTAGTGATGCCAAGTTCATGTAAAATTTCCAAAGTACACTGAGAACTTCATCAAAATATGATAGAGAATTAATGACAACACATGGTAAAACAAAAACTATAATTGGAGCAAACATGGTAAGATTTCTAGTTCTATACCTATCTTTCAACTGCAACCCCACAGAAACTATTTGCTGGGTCAAATTCAAGCAACAATCTGATACCAGTCAAGATATGAGATTTAATATCTACAAACAAGTAATATGGAAATTGTCCAATGTTCTATAAGAAACTTCTAGCTGACTCTAGCAGCTTTATACCATAGAAGGGGTGGTGTTCTAACAGTATTCAGAAAATAGATAGAAAAAGCATACAGTGGTTCGATTTTTTGGCATGCTTCAGTTCTGCCAGCCTAACAATTTCTAAGACATGAACTAGAATACAAAACACATTACATTCAAGCGTCAGAATCTTACTCTTCTTCTCCAGAAGAATCAATTGACTCCATTGACGGAGTTTTTCTGCCCTGGGGTAAGAAAGAAACAAAAATCAGCATAAAGCTTTACTTTTATAAATCACAATAAATCAAGTTCTACAAGGACTTTTTTCTCCATACACGAGATAAGATGTTGTTTATCAAACTTTGTGCATCAGGCTGGCACCCTTTCTCCATTCCATAAAGTTGGATATTATAATGTGAAGCAACACTACAGCCCCATGATAAGGGAGTAGTAGAGTTTGTTATAACCAAAATTTCAACGAAGGGGCCGTTTACCAAACGCTTACTCGGGTAAGTGAACACCAAGTCATTTTACCTTACCGGATGAATATGGTAAGGATCAAGAATCTTACCTGGTAAGAGCGAGACAAGGACCAAGAGTCTTACCCGGTAAGTGAGGGCGACGACTCTTACCACGGTAAGCGCTTACCGGGTAAATTGTTGCATACGATACCGTTTTGGTGGACTAAAATCTTATCCGGTAAGTAAATGATAGTGTTAAATTTACCGGTAAAAACGCTTACCGGGTAAGTGTTTGGTAAACGGCCCCTATTCTTGTAGAAAGGCAGAAAACATAATAAAAAAGACACCTCTCTGTATATTTCTCTCTCTAGTCTCTTCTTCCTCCTAAATCTCTCATCCTCTATTATGCCATTAGAGGTAAGCTTCAAGCTTCCTGTATCATTGGTACCAGAGCAACGATTTTGTGTTCTTTTGAGTTTCCCCAACAAATCAAGCAAGTGTGGCTCCTCCTATAAAAAGAAAATCGGCAGGGATGGAGGAACAAATTAAACCCTAGAAAAAAAAGTGAAGATCAAAATGGACAGTTTGGAGATCAAAGTAAGAAGTTCCAAGAAATGATTCAGATGATGCATGTGATGAGAGGATCGCCTCTGTTACAATCTCCTTCTGGCACGTCAAGAATCAACAATGGAGGATCCAATTCAAATCGAACTCTCAGGTACGTACCAAAACTTGATTTTCCAAAATTTGATGGATCAAATCCAAGAATATGGGTTAAGTAGTGTAGCAAGTATTTCAATTTGTGCGAAGTTCAAGAAGACCAGTGGGTTGACCTTGCCTCTTTGAATATGATGGACAAAGCAGATAACCAGTTATTTGTCTGTAAGGCGGAACGTCGATTGGCATGATTTTGTCATCAATCTTATGGCTCGATTTAAAGACGAAACTGGTATCAATGTGGTAGAGCAATTCAATGAGTTGCAACAGCATGACTCCCTTGAGGTTTATACAGATGAGTTCGAGAACTTGAGGTCAATTATGTTGCATAATAATCATGCACTACCAGATCCTTATATTCTTGACAGTTTCCTTGGGGTTTTGAGGCCTGCTGTCAAACCGTTTGTTCGAGCCTTTAAACCTACATCAATTGCAAGAGCAGTGGAGATTGCGAGGTTGCAAGAAGAATCTCTAGTTTTATTAATTCAAACCCAGAAACTAATAAATCCATGTCACCAGAACCCCTCCAAGAAGTACCTATGACCAATGACATTCAAACACCTCTTTTACATACTTCGTCAACTAACATTCAAAAGCCTCTATTACCAACTCCTCCGACGAAGACGATGACAATTCCTTTTTGGCAAAACTTCCACTGAAAACTATCAAGAATGTCAGACATTCCAGCAGATGTGAGAGCCGAGAAAATTGCAAAAGAGCTATGCTATTTCTGTGATCAGCCTTATGGCAGGTAACATAATGTCAATTCAAGGAGTCACAATTGTTTACAGCTGAAATTCAAGGTGGGATGGTGAATACTACAGCATGGTGAAGATGGAACAAGATGATACATATCCATACTTTCACAGCAGACAAGTTAAAGGAGTGACAAAGACTTGAGGACAAGTCTTTTTGAAGGGGGAAAGTATGATAAGAGAGTAGTAGCGTTTGTATAACTAAAATTCTAACTAAGCTTCCATCTTAGTCCTCCTTTTAGTTCTCTGTTTGATTGAGTTCTTCCAGATATAAATAGGAACTCCTATTCTTGTAGAAAGACAGAAAAGATAATAAAAATGAATTCTCTCTCTCTCTCTCTTTATATATATATATATATATATATATATTTCTCTCTCTAGTCTCTTCTTCCTCCTAAATCTCTCATCCTCTATTCTGCCATTAAAGGTAAGCTTCAAGCTTCTTGTATCAACCCATGTGGTATCAGATTGGCTCGAATACTATCAACTACTAGAAGAGATCTGATTGTGCCTATCATACCTTGGGACTCGCTTCACTTACAACCTCTACTGGTACATGAAGAGATTAACTGTGGTACTTTCCTATTATTACATTTGGGGATAGGGTACAAGAGTTTGAGACCCTGTACACATCAAGTTGAGGAAGAAGCCTAACTACTAGGGTCGTGCCCTTGATCTCAGTGTAGCAAGATGCGAGAAAGATGGGACAGAACTAAGAAATTACCAATCTACCCTCATTTGATAATAAACCTAATATGGTATTTGGTTTAATGGTCACCACTGACCACTGTGGCGGCGTCCAACTACCACCTCCACCACCATCGGCTACCACAACCATATCCCACCACCACCTCCACCTCCTCCACAACTAGCACCTCCACCTACATATCCCCCACTGTCGGCCGCCACCATTGACTATCATCTCCACGTCCTCCACTAACACCTCATCCACAGCAACCACTGACCAGTGACCACCACCCATTGTCATCACCATCACCACCACTGGCGGCAACCTCTACGACCATCGGCTACCTACCATCGTCCATCATCACTTCTACCCAAAAGAATAGGAAGTATTTAAAAGATCTATCAAGCCAAGCAAAACTTACATTATTCCGTCCCCATATTGTGGAACGCCTGACATTGTAGTTGGAGCCTGTTAGTTTGCTAATTGGAGTCTCTGTGCATGATTCATGTCCAGAGAATGACTGAGGTACGCCTTGCTCAATAGAAGAAAGCAGCACTCCAGTTGACCGATGACACTCGGGTAACATGCCAGGTGTGTCCATTTGATTTTCGCTTTCCCTGTATTGCTGCATCTGTTGCTCATTAATTTCAATATTAGAATCTCCAGGAGATGGAGAGTCTGCCAATGAATTTGATTTTTCTGCTGAATTGACATTGTCTTTTGGGGATACCAAATCTGATTCATCAGCTCCATATGCCTATATTCACAAAATAAGTGCCACCCATCAAGAAATGAACTAGTTGTGTACCCGCGCAATGCGGCGGGAGCCATGAATTTTAACGATTTTGAAGTTCCACTGGTTTTATAAGATAAGATTTAACGATGATATATGTTACACTTGGTCTTTACAAATTAATACAATTTGAATAAATAAGAGTTATGGTTCCAATTACAGACTATCGATGAAAAAAATTGTATGACAGTTTAAAATCCAATATATTCAAAAACCAACATACTTAAACGACTCCACAAATGTGTTCGATTTACACCAAGAGCAAAGAACCAAGAAACTTGAGTTTTAAGATAAACACTCAAAACCAATAAAGAAAACTACAAATTTGACAGATCATAAGCCATGAAAAGACCAAAAAAGATGGGTTTTAGAATGATATTTCAACTGCTTACCCTCTTTCTTGTCCAGAAACTCAGATTAAGGTTGAATTAATACATGTATATATATATTTCAAAAAAAAACCCAAGAACATATTAATTCAGAACATATTGGACAGCCTAACCCCAAAATATATAGTATATATATAAATAAATAAATAACTATAAAAGTATAAATCGTAAATATTAAAAATATAATTAAGTAAAAAACTATTCAATATTGGACTCATTTCGAAGGTATTAATGAGACGATTATAATGGTGTAACTTGTTAAAATAAAAATGTATTTTTTAAACATGTTTTAATTGATATACGATTATGTAAATTTAATTTGATAAAGGTTTAAAATGAAACATTTAAAAGTAAAGGACGTAAAATAAATTAATTAACTAATTATAGGGGTATAAAGTGTAAATTTAAAATTATAATTTTAAAAAAATCGGTTGTGAGAGGGTGAGTGTAAGTGAGGGGGTGAGTGTATGTGAGGAGAGGAGGGGGTGAAAAAGTGAAAAAGTGATATAAAGGGTATCTTGGTCATTTAGTATTTTAAGACTTTAAGACTTTTGTTAAATTTGCTTTATAAGATAGTATAGATATAGATAATTTGGGACAAATAAAAATATATAAGCAGATTACAACTAGAGAAGCCCGTGAAACCAGCATTTAGAAAGAAGAAAAAAAATACATGAAGATACAATGATGTTCTAATCGCCCAATAATGAGAAAGTACCTTAAAGTCATAAAGATCACTGCCATCATAACCACTGCTTTCACTCAACTTTCCACTGAATATCCTTTCAGGGTCCTCATCAGTTTCTTGATCAGCTTCATTTTCTGCATCATGGTAAACATTGTCTTTGATTTCCATATTTTCGTCATCAGTTGAATCTTCACTTGCACTATTGTCCCGAGAATCCGCTGATATAGAACATCTGTTCATAGCATCGTCCTGAAAAAAGAGGATAAATCGTGATAACAAGGTCAAGTTTTGCCACCAATTAATCCTCTACGGCTGCATCAACAAAATAAAAGAAACTTACATCAAAGATATTCTCATACTCCTCCAGGAGGGTTGCAACAATAGCTTGAGCATTGTTAGCAGCATTTGCAGCAGCAAGAAGCTGTGCAGAATTGTCACGATTATCATCAAAATCATCCTCCAATTCACATTCACCAGCTAAAAGTGGGCGTAATAGTAATGGTGCCATACAAGCAGCTACTGCTGACGCTGTCATTCGATTTTCAGAAGTATGCATGGAAACAGTGTGCATCATCTTCAGGATTCTGCATATGAATAAATATACTTGGATGGGTAATCAAGCAAAGACAAAAACTTGAAAATAACAGTGTGGCATTTCTTCATGTGTAAAGAGATAAAAATATATTAGCTCATACAATAGGCAACCTGAAGATTTAATAGTTTCATAATTCAAGAGCCAGCAATTTAGAAAAGCAAAACCTCAACAGGAATTTAGAAACAATAAACAAAAACCTTTCCCTCCCAGCAAATAAAAACTTAAAAAGTAAAAATACCAGTATTTTAACAAATTGGCAAGATTCTCAAACCAAACCAAACCAAACCAAACAACAAAGTCAGTATATCCCACTGGGAAGTAGGGTATGGGGAAGTCGACAATATTCTGATCTGTATATTTTGTAACAGCATTCTTATTTTTCGTAAATAGCCAAGGTGGCAATTATGCTTGTCGTTGTAAACTATATATTTTACTTGCTCATCCAATAATAGTTTGGGGAAATAATTCACAGCCCGGAATTAAAAGGCATGGTAATAACAACGTTGACATGCATAGTTGTTAAAAGTGCGCCTCTAAGCTCTGAGGCTCATAAGGCTCAAGGTCTTGGGCTTTGTTAAAGTCGAGGCTAGGCTTATTCAAGAGGGTCACTAAGGCGATGAGCCTTGGCTGAGGCGCCTTGTGGGCCTAGGCGCACCTTATAAAGAGTTACTAAATACCTAGTCAAATCTTAATATTAGAAAAAGAGTGATTAAAAAGATAACACAAGTCAAACCCTAATATTAAATACCCAATTCTTAGAACTTCAAGCCTCTTCTATAAATATCCAGACCTTAAAACTTCTCCCTCACGGCTCGCACTTTAAACCCTTCTCCCTTCTGCCTCTATCGAAGTGTTGCTCGTTGATGCATTGGAGGCTTCTACTTGCTGCATATTTGAGTTGTGTGTGTGTATATATATATCATTTATAAGATGCGCCTCGCATTCGTGAGGCCTGCACCTCGTGCCTAGGCCCCGAGACCCCTTTGCACCTAAGTGCACCTAGAGCCTTTAACAACTTTGCTGACACGAACTAATGCCAGTGGTCCTAAAATAATCTTTGCGCATAGGAATCATGACTATATCCGCTATTCTGATATTCAAATTCAATAAACATGAAATTAAACAGGTTAGACACCCAATTTTATTTATTTTCAATATCCGTGTGAACCTGCAAACCTGCTTTTGTCTTTGCCTTTTCAAAGGAACCAAGAGTGTGCATTGCATGATCAAGAATGTGCTAATTACAGATCAAGAAACAAAGATAGAAATATCACCTCTGTAACAAGCGCCTATTTGGTTCAGGAAACGTTTCCAAAATTGCAGCACGCATAGCATTTACTCGAGCTTCTTTCCGATCAATTTCTTGATCACAGCAACAACATGGATATAATATCTTCGTCAGCAAACATATTTGAAATCAAACAATTTTGTTAGGCATTCATGCACTCAATACCCAGATACACCATGTGAAGAAGTTTTGGAGCTCCCTTCACCGGACAAGTAAAAGTGTGAATTTACATGCAAACCTTCCTTGAAGAGTCAATAAAATAAAGGCTGGCCTATTCTAGCATTCAAAGCAAAAACAGAACATAAAAAGAAGATAGAAGATAAAGAATGAGATCCCACTCGAACAAGGGATAAATTTGTAATGACTTGTCTAACTGCAAGATTGCAAAAGCCTCCTAAGATCATCTAGTAGCTCCTACTTAGAAATATTCGGTCTTTCAAATAGTAAGCTCAAAGGGCAATTGCTCCCTTGTCTGAATATCACTGCTTAGGGCCAAAGCAGCTACCTAGCGTCAAGCATCCCCCAACCACTTCAGTTAGTTAGGGATGCTTTATTGGCCATAGGAGTTAAGTATCCACCACAAATGACAACTGCTTCGACTAGCAACTGTTTAGCGATTTACACATTTTAAAAAATTAAATGGCGATTAGGCGACCTTTCTCGTATTGTGTTCATCAAATGACTTCTCAATTTGGAAGTAATCTTTCAAAACCTTTTAAGAGTAATTGGAGCAATGGAATAATGGAATTAATCATTTAGGAAATTAATTCTATCAAATCAAGAGAGTAACACATCTTAATTATCATATGTTTACATGGTCCACAAATAATTATATACCATGTATTCAAATGACCTGCTTATGTGTATGCCTAATTCCCGTTTAGGTGATTAAGTGATCACATGAACCCAAGCCCCATTTAGCGCCTTTAAGAACACTCCCACTGAGTTCAGATCCATAGGTATAACAACGTCAAGATAAGATTCATGTCTTAACTTTTATCAGGTGTTTGTCTTAGTACAGATGATACGATTTAACCTATGATCTTAGGACACACAGGGATGCAAAGTCCACCTACTCTCTTTTATCGAGATGCTCCTCAAGACTTGATCACAGAGCAGTCTTCTGCCCTAGTAACATTGAGTAGAGAAAATAAACAAGGTTCACGCACAGAAGGAAGTCGATTTCGTTGAGATTCGGGTCAGAGGTCCATTGACAACACAATTATAGGTAGAGGATTCAACAATAGCTCAGGCAGAAACAGAGGCATACACAATGAATGTGAGGATTTACCTAGGACTAAATGTTGCTACTTTCACAATCATGATCATATGAAGTGACTATGTTCAGAGTTGCAATGAGGCTCTATAGGATCACATAAACGGGGATACATTACTTTCTTCACAGATTTTTGGTTAAGTGAGGAGGATATCAACTTGAATCAAAACTTTCAAGCTTCCTCCAACAAACAGCTCTTTGTGCTTCAGCAGCAGTCAGTGCTTTAAATCAGAGAACAGTTTAAAATACATACACTATTCGGGCTACATCGTTCACATCTCCTTCCCATCTCCATGTTAAAAATAACCAAACACCAAGTATGAATTCGTTCAGTGAAGTCCATCTGATAGCGGTGGTGTAGTTTGGAGATCAAAAAAGTTCTGTTTTTACGTGCAGCTCAAAAGTATAAATAAATCTTTTTCTGTGATTAACGATAGACAGGACTCTCAGTTTGTCGCCTGAGTTGAAAGTCTTCCATTCATGCATCTGCTTAGTTAATTAGGTTAAAATGTGCCTTACCCACATCATCAGAGATGCAGTAATTTCCTACTTAAGATTCAGATGCCTATGATTCTAAACCCCATCTTTCTGATGTCCCTTAAATGCATAGGTTCCTGATAATATGCTACCTATAAGAAGTATTAATAAAGATATTAGTTCTTTTGTAACATTATTTCCCATAATTGGTTGGATGTCCCATCCTCAACTGCATATCTGCATGACAGAGTTATCCAAGCATTCAGTGTGAGACATGTCATACTTGTAAGTACATTCGTACGTTTCACTGATTCAGGTCCATCTTTCCTTCTGAAATTAATTATGCCAACATTTTTGGCTGTTTAATTGAAAGCATAATTGGTACCTTTGTTGATGATAATTTTAAGATTTCTGGGTTCTACTTATTTAACACTCATTGCGCTCATGTTGAAAACCAATGCATAACTAAAATAAAAAAGCATTTGTAGTATTAATGTGGAAAAATATTACTCTATGGAATTTACGAAATTTATGAATGTGTTTGGGAGATAACATGATTCATCACATGGGTATACTTCTCAACAAAATGGAGTTGCTAAAAAACACAAAAAGACGTTACTTAGATGTAGTTCACACTATTGCTAACACATCATAATCTTCCTCATTGAGTCTGAAATGTTGATTGTTATCTTGTAGACCAAATCCCTTAACCATTTTAGATAGACAAATACCGTATCAAGTCTTTTTTGCTCATGCACCTATTTCACCATTAGTTCTAGATTTTAATTGCGATTGCTATAAACATAACTTGATGCTAGGGCAAATGAATGTCTCTTTGTTGATATTCTAGATGTCAAATTGGATACCGTTGTTATCACCCTCCGCAATGACATATTTATCTTTACCGATTTCACCTTTTCAATGTTCTTGTTCAGACTAGCAATGCCAAGTTATCTGGTCCTAATGTTTGATGTTTCAACTATTGAGACAGCATGATCTTGGTCAGCTGCCTTGTGATGCTCTTAGTGACCCCTCAACTCAGATCTCATGGAAGGCCAACCTCTAGCACTCCTCTCAATGTATATAAACAAAAAAAGGTGTACGAATATCCTTCTACAGCACCTACAAAGATTCCTCCACCTCCAAGTGTACTTCCTTCAACACTTGCTGAAATTCTTATTGCCAAATGAAAAGGAACACACATATATTGATAAGTCTACTGATAGACTACAAACTTCTACATAGCTTAATCTCTCCTATATCTCACCTTTTTGTTTGCACCTGATAGCACCCAATTTTTCCAATTCGGCGGTTCGATCTATGATTTATCATTCATGGACGTTGATAAGATCCATCCACATGGTTTCATAAAACCACACGATTTTCCCGATCTAAAGTCGAACCAAGCCTCCGCAATTTCAGATTCCCCCTGCCGAATGGCCTGTTCATGTTTTGTTGATAACTCTAAAACTGGCCTATGAAAGAAAAAAGACACTACGTAACTTTATTGCATTGGAATGCAGTCAGATGTTTGGGGCAGTATAAGCGATCAAGGATTTGGAACCTTCATAGATTTATCGAATCGGTTACTATTTCTGAATCTCAAAAAACAATTGTCTTACTATATCTCTAGAGTCAATAATTTTATATGAGGAACTACTGAACATAATCACTTGCTGCCGTTACTCTTCAGTTTTCTGTTGAGGTCTATCACGAATAAGAGAAACTCTGTCATAGCCATTTCTGTACCTGTAGCTGGATCCTTCGGAACCACAAGAATCCTTAGTTAGAATTAGAATGTAAGATGATATCTTGAGCAGTTACATATCCAGGGCCAATATTTTTCTATTGGAGCTTCCCTCATTCCTTTTATCGAGCATAATGATTTTTGTTCAAGAATGAAATCTTGTTGGAACTGTTCAATCGTATGGATATGTAAAATACAGGATTTCCAATCCTAGCAGCAAAAGGAGGCAATCCATCAATGAGAAGTTAATTGGATAAGTTCAATGAATTCTTTTTTTATATTATACGTTATAAGGAAAGGAAGCTAGTACTAGTACATCTGAGAATTCTTAATTGGATAGTTGTAAATAGCCCTAGGGCACCGCCGTATGGCTGACCGGCGATTACTAGCGATTCCGGCTTCATGCAGGCAAGTTGCAGCCTGCAATCCCAATGCCTTCATCACACTGATGGATGGTTATCATATTCCTTGAGATCTTGGTAAGGCTCCAGCACATCTTGGATTGGGAAAACAGCACAATAAGAAATGTCAAGTCCGTAGAAATTCGAGATCTTCTTGACATTCCAGCGAGGAAAATTATTGGCGGATGTAAGTGGGTGTTTGTCATCAAGCTGAATCTAATGAACCTTTGCTCGTTCTAAGGCTTGATTGGGTGCTATTAAACATATGACAAGAACAATGAAAAGGCTTCAACACTATGTTTGCTTCATTGTGACTCGAGAAGCTCAGCTCATATGGTTCTTCAAGTGGAGGTTGCTAGATTTTTTCGCCTAGAAAGATCTCTATACGGCGTGAAATGCACACCTAAAATGTGGTTCTCTTCATTCTAGAGTTTTGGGATGATACAAAGTGCCAACAATGTTCTTTCCAAAGATGGATGGTAAAAGAATATTGTGTTATTCTGTGGATGACATTGTAACTACATGGGACAACATAGAAGGGATTGATCCAGAAAGAGTTACGAACCAAGGACTTAGAAGTGTAAAAGTACTTCTTACACATTGAGGTAGCCAGATCTTGAGAAGAACATGCTTCTATGATTATCCTTATCAGTTCTTACATCTATTTAACGGATTTTGCCCAACAATAATAAAATAAGTTTTAGTAATACAGTTTATTATTAAACTACATGATAACATCGAGCAAGACTAATAACCCATGTAACAAACAACTATGTGTTACCCTATCAACCAAGAATGTTCAACCTCAAAAACTTCCACTAACAATTCGTGCTGATTGTTGGTGATAATTTTCTACCAAAGTAACCAAAACTAAGTTTAATCACTCTTTGAGAAAAAGGGAAGGTGAACTCACTATAAGCTTCTAATAAAGCGGTGCAACATGATGCAGGAACCGGTGATGAAGGCAGCTCACGAAGGACATGCTGCAAATGAAAGAGCTTCGTAATCAAATCAAGCATGGACCATAACACAATAACCAACAACATAATTTGAAAGAACTTTAAATATTCTTCCAGGACCAACTTAAATCAAATCAAGTATATACCTTAACACAATCGCCAACAACATGTGCATCCTCATCAGAACTGAATTCAGTCTTGCCTACAACAAAATAAGCTTTGGTATTTAAGCTACTTGCTTGCTAAACAAAATTGAACCAAAAACAATGAAGACATCTCAAGATAGAATTGTTTCAAATGGCAAGTCCCAGTGATAGAAGATGATCATCTACAGAAGCAGTCCAAAATACTAAAGAGCAGGGCATCAAATCAAAAGCAACAGAAGAGAAAACTAGATGAAAGAGAACTGACTTCAGTTTTCAACAATATAAACAAGACAAAAAGACCTAATGCAGTTTGTCAAGGGAAGGCAAAAAGGAGGGTGTAAACGGATGGAATAATGAAAACCTTTAATGCTTGGCACTCACGTAATAGCTCAACACATCCAAATTAGGCAATATAATTGGAAGAAATGAAACCTGTTTCATATTCTTGAACTCTGCGATCTACCTCCTCTACATCTGCAGATTGTCTCAAGATTCCTTCTACTTTGCTTCCTGTTACATAGTTTTTTATATATGGAAGGAGTACAAGTTAGCATATAAAATGATCAAACAGATTACAACATTATGTTCCCTAGTGCTCCAGCTTTTGTAGCTTGTATTATAGCTAATTATTTTACCCATAAAACTGTCCACATGATTTCATATTATTTTTAATACTCAGAAAGAAGCTTACCATGTTTCTCAAGAAATCTAAGAGCTTTCTCGAGGAAAGATGGGCCTCCATCTATGTCCTCCAATGCTAGCAATATCGGTCGTCCAACAACTAAAGACTTAATGGGGCGTTTATCCCTCCCTGAAAAAAAAATCGGAAATGCTACGTGTTTTCATACAAACTTAAAAACAACAAAGCCGCATTTGCCTGTAGCTAGTAGCCAATTCAGAACCATATTTGTTCAATTTCAGACTTGTAATTCTTTATAATCAACTAATTATAGAGTAGCTTGATCCACAAGACAAGTTTTAAGAATTATAGAACTTGTGGCTTGAATCAGATGAGTACACTCAGTTTCATATGGATGTTCAAACAAGGTCTTAAAGTGGACAAAAGAAACAAGTTAAAGGATTAAGGTGTACAAACATTGATGAAAGGACCCTTCGATGGATTCTGTAGTATCATTCCTGAAGATCCCATTATGTCCCATAACAAGGGCAGCATTAGGTGCTTGCACAAGAGCGTGTTCTAGGGCTGTCTTCCACTCATACAAATCCTCTGGCGTCTCCGCCTGAAATTAAATTAAAACATAAATGGGAAAATTGCCTACAATTAGATGTACATCAAGATATTTATACACATCCAGCTGAATATTTGACCTTACATTGTGTAGGGGACAGGATACTAAATAACAAGACTCAAGCATCACAAAAGAAGCAAATGCCTAAAAATGTATGATTAATGTGTCATGTAAAACCTTGAGAGTAAATGCCCGCCCATCACGACCATCAGGGAACAGAACAGTTAACAGCTTTTTGTCCTCCCTAACAACAACACTGCAAATAGAAGTCCACAAAAACCAGATGTTAGATTAATACATCATATAAATACACACATACAGACCCCAGAACCGCCATTACCTTCCTGAATTGTTCAAGTCAATTCCCCCTAACGTCAGATTTACTTCACTTCCTCTCTGAGAAAGTGCACTCTAGAACAAAATAAATTACAAATTCAGTGATTGAACCAAGGAACTGCTTATCAGGACACCCAAATTCAGAAGTGAATCAGATATGCATGTCTTAGAATAATAATTGGAAATGAACCCCAGATTATTGAAGACATTAAACCTTTCATAAAAATAAGAAAATATAGTAAAGATTAATGCACCAGAGAAATGAAATCCTTGTAATTTATGGGTCTATTATTTAAGTTGTTCCTTTGAGCTCAACTGTTCTCCAGCCCAGATTATCCAAGAAGTTTGTATTAATTCATAATCCACATAGGAGCTAACTATCTACAAAAAGACTTAGAACTATAACAGAAAGAATGCAAGCGTTTGCTTTCTAATGAATGAAGCATAGGTTGCAAGCTAAATTGTATTTATATTCATTTAAATTCCAAAGCGAGTTTCAAACTGAAAGCTTTTAGCAGCTAGATACAGACAATTAGTGGCTCCGAGGATTTACAATCATATAAATGAGAAAATGACACTAAGGTGTATAGGGTTAAAGCCCAACACTAAATTGTTGAAAGAATTTCAATGGAAAAGATAAATGGTTGATACAAACTGTTATAACCACCACAAGAAGTGTTTCTCTCTTAACCCCATGAAGCATAGTTAAATGATAGTTTTGCTCAATGCATTAAGATTAAAAAGATCATCTACCAATTTGATGTGTAATTCATTATAAGTCCCTATTAACATACTCTTGTAAAGAACATAAATCCATCATCGAACGTCCAAGGATTGCATAAGGTAGTGATAGTATTTGTGAAAAGAAAATGTATTTAAAAAAAAAATCCATTGGTGTATATAGAGATGAATATGACGGAATGAGGTAAGGATTCCAATCCCTTTCATGGTATCAGAGTCTCACGCTCTTACCTGTGACAACCACATTTGAGACTGTCCTTGCACTACCTCCCCCTAGGGGTGTTCTTCCTTGTGCAACCCGTGCTCCCTAACAAATCCCCTGATGATTGTGCTTCCTTAGACTTGTCCTCTCTGCATCGCTCTTTTTCCATCGAAACCCTTTTAAAACTTTGCTTTTTGCTGATTTAAGCGTCGTTTTATAACCGGTGCAGTTGTTGTTGTAGCCGGTGCATTAGCAATTGTACCTTACTTTGTTCAACTAGAACACCTCAAATCTACGTTATTTTGGCTTCATCAACAATGACTCAATAAAACAATATGCCCCCAACATCCTCGTCTCTTCATCTTTCCCAGATCGTCAGCAACATCCAGAACCTAATTCCTCACATCCTCCGGAAGCTGGCACGTAGGGTCTATTACCAGTTTGCTACCTACATTCATCATATGGGTTTTCAGAGTAGTAAGTGTCACAATTTCGATGTATCAAAGCAAGGGTGACACTGCCTATCTTTGTCTATATGTCGATAAAATTGTTCTCACGACCTTATCCACTACCTTCCTTTGTCAATCATCACCACTCTCAGTATTGAGTTTGCAATGATAGATTTGGAAGTCCTAAGCTATTTTTTGGGTATTTCTAACGGCACCATGTTTCTTTCCCAAAAGAAATACGCCGAAGATATCGTAAAGCATGCTAAATGGCTAATTGTTAGACAATTGCCACGTGAGCTACATCTTGTCACCATGTATAAAACTTGATATTGATTTTATTGATTGAAAAATAATAATAATCTGATACACTTTATATAGGTAAAACTAATTACACTTTGGACCATAGACAATATTAAAAATATAAACTAGACTAGTTGACTTAGTCTAACATTCCCCCGCAAGTTCAGCG